GGTCAGCCACATGGGCAATCAGCCATGTCTCTGTGGCTGTTATGGGCTGAATTGTGTCTATACCAAATTGATATGTTGAAGCCCTAACCACCCCATCCTCCCCAGTTCCTCAGGATGTGACTATTTGGAGATAGGGCCTTTAAACTGTGATTAAATCAAGTGAAGTCTTTAGAGTGGGCCCTAGTCCAATAGGACTCTGTCCTCATGAGAAGAGGACATTTGGACACAGGATGTGTGCACAGAGGGAAGATCATATGAGGGCACGGGAGATCATATGAAGGCACAGAAGATGGCCATCTACCAGCCACGGAGAGTCAGGCCCCAGAAAGAATCAAGTCTTCCGATGCTTTGATCTTGGACTTGTGGCCTCCAGAACTGAGAAAATAAATTTCTCTTGTTTAAGCCACCGCATCTGTGGTGTTTTATTATGGCAGAAGTAGGAAACTAATACCGATGAACTCTCAGGACAAGAAGACTCAGGAGCTTCCCTGGTTGGCAGTATACAATGTGTGTGGTCGAACATCATCGCTGGGAGAATTAAGTGCTGTCCACATGAATCCACAGGGAGGGGACACCTGGTCCCCTGGTGGCTGGTCCCTTCTGGACCCTGCCCCATGTGCCTTTTACCTTTGCTGATTTTAATCTCTATCCTTTCCCTGTAATAAACTGTATATAACAATTTTGCTGAGTTCTGTTGATGCCTTCTAGTGAATCATTGAACCTGAGGGTGGTCTTGGGGACTTCCCACTACACAGGTTCACAGAGATAGGAGTGACTCCCCAAATCCCTAGCAAATGTACTTTTGGGAGTAGGAGCTTCCCCTTCAGGACCTCAGGCTGAAGCCTTGCTGCACCTTTTCTCATCCCTTGCTAAAAGTGGCTTTCTTTTCCACCAGCTGATCCACCTGTTGTCCTCCAGCGCCCCACATGGGGCTGCAGCATGACCTTGGGTAAGTCACTCACCTGGGAGGCCATCCAACATGGTGGAGGGAGGGGTCAGGTTTTCAGGTCACACTACACTGGATTGGAATACTCCCTCGGCCCTGATCTAGCATATGGCCTTGGGACAGTCACTTTCCTTCTCTGAGTCTCAGTGTTTGAGTCTCCCAAATTGCTTTGAATCACCCAACAAAATCCCATGTGTAGAGAAAGAAGTGTTATTGTGCTGTAATACTGGCCAGGGTCACTCTGTTCCTTCAGACCCCAATAAATGGGCTCAAGCCCCTTCTGACACCCTTGCTGAAATTTTGGAGAATTACCAGATGATTATTTTCTCATGGTCTCCTGTTACTGCTGAATTAAATAGCTTCACGGTGAGCTCGCTCTTCCTGGTTTCCGGGATGAAGTGCACTGGCCTCTCTCCTTGGTTTCACCAAGGTTCCTGGGTGTGTGACAGGTTTTACTGAGGCTGGGGGAGTGGAAGGAGAGTTTACATTGCATATCACAGCAACTTAATCTTGACTGTTAGATGTCTCTGTTCCAACCCAGCCTACCTCCTAGAGTCTTGCCATTGTACTGCCTTCCCATTTGTTCATTTGTTCATCCATTCATTTGTTCATTCATTCATTCGCTCAGTCAGCAAGTATATTTTCAGTGGCTGCTGTATGGATTTGGGCAAGATAAGCAAGAAAACATGGTCTCTCAGCTCTCAGCTCACAGTTAAGTGGGTGAAATAGACATTCATCAGAGAATCATACAAATGAATATAAAGTCACTAATGTGATGAGGAGAATGAGGACTAGTGAATATCTTTGGGCAACTTGATATAGCTGGGATAGGGAGGGGGTGAGAGGCTTCTCTGAGGAAGTGGGGTTTGCCTTGAAATCTCAAAGCTGAGGAGGCATTAGCTATGCAAAGTTCCTGTGGCACCATCTATCCCTTCATTTTCTGGTCCTGGGATTCAGCCCCTTTCACCTCTCACTCTTTGGTCCCTGTTGGTCTCTCTGCTTCTTGTCACTCCCATCCATGTGTACCAGGATTTGCAAACTAGAGCCTGTGGGCCAAATCTGGCTCTTGAACTATGAGCTATTTTTAAAAATTTAAAATGGTTGGAAACAAATCAAAAGAAAACATTTCATGAGCTACTTTTGATAATTTTGTTTGATAATTAAAACTTTAAACCTAGTGTCTATGAAGGGAGCCTTAGTGGTAACCGTAGGATTAATGTGCCCAGTTATATGTAATGTTAGAAAGCTCACACTGGATGGCAGATTTGAGACAGGATTTTCTGTCTTGCAAATTAATTAGGTTTTTTCCTGAGATCCTGGAGCCCAGCCAGTTGATACAGAAGGTGAAAACTTCCTCCTGATTTCCTTTTTATGGGTGACAATTGAAATATTTTGGTAGTTGAGATATTTGGGAACCCATGTTGCCAGGTAGTCAAATTAGAACCTAAAGCAAGTATGTGGGAGGGTTTCTGGGGTGAGGGGAGAAAAGGAGTGAACATACGCCAGTCACTAAAAACCCAAACAGTCAGATCCACTTCGACAATATATTTTATACATACTCTATTTTACCACTACAATCTGGAGGGAGAGAAGCACACGGAAGGTAGATATATGTTGAGAATCTTTCTGAATCATTTTGATGATGTCAACACATTTTTTTTCCCCAAGAGTAAAAAAAAAGACTATTTCATGACATGTAAAATGATATGAAATTCAAGTTTCAATTTCTACTCTTTGATGTATTGTTTATGGTGGCTTTCATGCTGGAACAACAGAGATGAGTCATTATGACAGGCTGTATGATCTGTAAAGCTGATAATTACTATCTGGCCATTTATAGAAGGTTTTCTGAACCCCAATCCATGGGATGACTCATAAGTGGATTAATTCTGGGCCCCGCCCTACATCCCTGCTTCATGTCATGGTCCCCTCTGCCCTGTGGACCAATCCCCGTGGTGACCCCTGCTGTCCCCCATAACCTCCCACACACCCCACTCCCCTTGCTGTAGGCTGGGGACACACCTCCCCGTGATTTCTCTGAACAACCCAGGCTCCGTCCCACCACGGGAACTTTGCACATGCTCTCCCTCCCCGGGGACGATTACACCTGAGGTAGAGGAACTGGGCCAGTTTACAGCCGGGATAAATGTTTCTGAAATAGAGAAGCTTTAAATGCATTTTGTGAAACAACACTATTGCCACCTGGTGGCCATGTCCTCAAGCTGTAGCTGTAATTCTTTCAAAGCGTTTGGGGTGGTTTTGGGACCTTCCTCTCCAGGACCATGTCTATGGTAGGGAAAAACGGAAAATGTCTATGGAAAAATGCCCCAGGTCCGGTTCTCCTTTATCTCTGAACTAAAGGCCTACTTGGGTCCCACATCTCTACAGCCCTCCTTTCCATCCCCCACTTATCCCTGTGATCCCCAAACTTTAAGGCTCATATAAGCCCTGGGGGTTGCTGTTAAAGTTATGATTCAGTGGCTTGGGATGGTGTCTGAGTCTTCATTTCTAGCAAAATCCCCATGATGCTGATGTTCTGGTTCACGGATCTACTTGAGTATCAGTTTCTTCTTCTATAGAAAAGGGGTCAGCAAACTCCTTCTGTGGCGGGCCAGACAGTAAATATTTTAGGCTTTGTGCACCATAGAGTCTCTGTCAAGATTATTCAACTCTGCTCTGTAATTTGAAAGCAGTCGTAGGTGATACATAAATTAATGGGTGTGTTCCCATAAAACTTTGTGAGCACTAAAATTAGAATTTTATATAATTTTAATCTGTCATAGAATAGTCTTCTTTTATATTTTCCCCCAACTATTTAAAAATATAAAAACCATTCTTAGCTTGCAGGCCATACAAAAACAGGCTGTGGGTTGGAATAATTTGCACATCCTTGCTCTAGGCTCCAACTTCTAGACAACATCATGTGATGTTAAGATCTGGGACTTTGGGATGGGTCCTCTGTTTGAACTTTGGCAGCTTCATTTTGCAAGCCTCAGCTTCCTTATCTGTAAAATAGGAACTTATATCACCTACCTTTTAGGGTTGTTGTTTAAAATATAATGAGATAATGCATACAAAGGGCTTAGCACGTGCCCAGCATGCAATAAATGCCATTATTGTCAACACACTGAGACCCAGAAAATGAATCCATACAACTTAAATCCTTCATCTTTTCCTCCAGTTGTAACCCAGACTCTTAGTGAGTCATGGACTTGAGGAGATGTGGTCTTTGGATGATGCCAGCCCTTCCTAAACTCACCGTACTCATTTGCTAGGACTGCCATAACAAAGCACCACAAACCAGAGGAGAAACTTATTGTCTCACTGTTCTGGGGGCCAGAAGTCTGAGATCAGGTATCATCTGGGTTGGTTCCTTCTGGGGACTGTGAGGGAGGATCTGTTCCACGCTTCTGTCCTGGCTTCTGGTGGTTTGCTGGCAATCTCTGGCACTCCTTGGCTTGTAGAACCATCACCTTCATCTCTGCCTGCATCTCCACATGACCTTCTTCCTGTGTCTGTGTCCAAATTCTCCCTTTAGGTAAGATTGGCAGTCATACTGGATCAGGACACATCCTAATGACCTCATTTTAACTTGATTATCTCTGTAAAGACCCTATTTTCAGGTAAAGTCACATTCTGAGGTCCTAGGGGGTTAGACTTTGACACATCTTCTTTGGAGACACAATTCACCTCCCAACACTAACTTTCCATGCGTTCCAGTCCATCCTATCTGCTTGTTTCCGATCGTGCCTGTAGAATGAGATTGGGTTTGAAGTCAGGTGATGGACATCACAAGAAACACATGGACTCTGCAGCTAGTCCAAGGGCCTGTGTCCTCAGACAGAGGTCTGCGTACTCCCTGCTTCAGGGCCACCTGGAGAGATTTTTAAAAAGGCAGATTCCAGGGTTCAGTGCCAACCTGTTGAATCACAATACCTGGGAGCCAAATGTCATTGCCTCTTATGATCCAATACATGGGGGGTGGGGTGGGGGAGGTGCACACGGGAGGCCTGATGATGACAAAGATCCCCAAAGTCATGGGCACAAGAGGTGGTCACAAGGTCCCCGTGAAACCAAGGCTGGTGGCTGCTGAAGTGTAAGAGAGGAGGATGCACGAGAGGGGGCTGATGCCCATGATGATGCCAAAAGCAAAAATCACCAGTTCGCTGGTGTGCGTGTCAGAGCAGGAGAGCTTCAACAGAGGCATGAGATCACAGAAGAAGTGGGGGATTTCGGAGCCAGCACAGAAGGTCAGTTGAGCCATGAGGCAGGTGTGCATGAGTGACCGGAGATTGCTGATCAGCCATGCCCCCACCCCCCCCAGCAACCCACAGACACAAGGGCTTATGATGACTGAGTAGCATAGAGGGTAGACAATGGCCACAAACCGATCAATGGCCATCACAGCTAGGAGGGAGCTGTCCATGGTCCCTAACAGGTGGAAGGTGTATATCTGAGCAAGGCAGCCCACAAAGGAGATGACCTGGTTCTGGGTCCAAAGGTTCACCAACATCTTGGGGACGGTGGTGGAAGAGAAGAAGGTATCGACGAGGGACAGTTTGGAGAGGAAGAAGTACATGGGCGTGTGGAGGCGGGAGTCTGTGATGATGGCCAGGACGATGAGCAGGTTCCCAAAGATGGTGACCAGGTACACAGAGAGGAACAGCCCAAAGAGGAGAGTATGAAGCTCTGGCTTTTCTGTGAGTCCCAGAAGGAGGAATTCTGAGACTCTGTTTTTTTTTGGTTTTTTGGTTCCATGGACAGCCTGTGTCTACTGCAAAGGAAAAAAGGGGAGAGGAAAGCAACACAAAGCTGGGAGTCAGAGATGGCGTTCCAGTCCTGCCCCCTGCCCCCGCTAAGATTGCAGAGTTCTGTGAAAATCTGTGGGTTTCTGTTTCTCCCCAACAAATCCATCCGTGCCAAAGATAGTTTGCATCTCAAAAACCTAACTCAGTTGTTTAGAGACAACTTAGGCATTGCCCATAAACACCTTTGTGTTTTCAGTGGAACAAAGCTTCGCAGAAAACAAAATTAAGCTGAATCAAGCCTAAACTGAAACCCAGCACAGGGAAAGGGAATCTGATCAGCCTCTTTTCTTCCTTGTCTTCCTTTCCCTTCATCTTTCTCTCTTTTCTCCCCTCCCTCCGTTTCATCCTTCCTTCACATGATACAGTTTTTGCATCCATTTCAGGTTAATGACCAAGGATACAAAGACAGTTCACACTTTTCCTCTGCTTCCAATGATGGCCAAATTTATTTGGGGCACTTTATGATCTTCTACCACATCATCACTACACTAGACCCTCTCTCATCCTTTGTGAGACGCACCCAATACATGCTCAGGAGGACGTAGAGACCATGGATGAACCCAGAAAGCTGGTTAAATGGAGATTTAAAAGAAAACTTCCATGGTAAAAAAAGAGTATCTGGAGATTTAAAGCTAATGGTATTTTGGAAGTATATTTTGCCATTAGTAGTAGGTTTGCAGGACAAAATTTTTTATATTCTCTTATGTTCTAGAGAGGTTGTCACTAGAAATTGAAAGAGTTTTTTACCCTCAGGAAAATATACATTGTTATAGTATGTCAAACAGCTGTTTAAGAAGTTTATTCAAAATAAAACTCCCAGACACAGCCTGGATGGTTCAAAGGTAAGCTGGTTTCATAAAAATGACAAAAATGTGCCCAAATGCCTGTTTGATGGAAAGCAAATTGTGCCATGTGCTTATTCCTGTAAGAAATATGATGACAAAAAAAGTGAGTTTATAAAAGAACACTCTGCTATGAATGGATATGAAAACAGTGGCCAATGTGAGACCAACATTTAAAGAAATGCCCACATGTAGGCATGTTGTGATAATATTCTTGTTCACCCATTTAACACTGCTAATGGGGATGACCCTGGTTTTACTTCCCCATGTACTTAGAAGGGAAGTGGGAGTTCATCCTTGGCCATTTTAATCCGCAGAGTCAGAGGTAACTTTTGAACTCCTCTCTGCTTTGGCTTCAGCAATTTGGGACTTAGGAGCAGCTTCATGTCAAAAGCCCAAAGAAAGCATATGTTTATCCCATCCACACGAGACTGCCAAAGCCTGGTTGCATTTGCCTTTCCAGGTCTCCATCCCCTGGTGTGCACAGTGATTCTTCCTTTCACTTGTGAACATTTATAGAGAGTGTGTTAGGTGCCACATATTTCTCTTACAATACAAGAATGATATAGAAAAAGCCCAGCATGGCATGACTCACCACGTTTTTGTAAAACCTCAATATTGACTCTTTTCAGCAAAGAGAGGATCTTCTTTAACTCATTGCTTACCTGGTTAGGTCCCCATGTCTTAAAGGCAATTGAGAACAAGAACACAACAGAGGCGTTTAGTGACCATATCTGTAGAGTGTTGAGCCTTCTTTTTCTTCTTCTTCTTTTTTTAAGATTTATTTATTTATTTCAGAGAGAGAGCGAGCTGGAGGGTGGAGCAGAGGGAGAGGGAGAGAGAAACTCAAGCAGATTCTGTGTTGAGCACAGAGCCTGACGTGGGTCTTGATCTCAAGACCCATGAGATCATGACCTAAGCCAAAACCAAGAGCCAGGCGCTTACCTGACTGCGCCACCCAGGTACGCAGAGTGTTGAGCCATCTTAGGAGTCACGGGTTCTTTATGTGCAGGTCTCTCAACATCCAGGAGAGGGAGATGGTGTTGACCACACCTGACAATGAGGAGCCAGGCTGAGAGCGATGCTAGGGGGCCCTCAGCTTGCACCTGCACCATGTCCCATCTGGACAGATTTATTTTTACTCTCTCACATGCCATTGCTTCTCTGAGTGCGCTTCATGAGAAGAGGCATTTCAAAGCTAAACTCTGCTGTCAATACTTGCTAGGAAAACCATTCAATCACAAGCATCTAAAATTATTATCACTCTGCCTTCCAAGGAATGCTGGTCTCCAGAAAGATTTAAGGTTAGCTGAAGGGGGATCAGGATGTATATGGGAGAACACAGTAGGTAGATAGGTGTGTATAGGAGAGGTTATATGTGACTCTGAGGTGTTGTGAGAACAAGGGGAGGGATGCAAATATCTGCCATGAGGAGCAGGACCCCTGGAGGTGGAAGAGGTGTTGAAAGGGGGCTTTCAGGAAGGGAAGCAGCATAATCTCCTCTTTGGTAACCTCAAGAGATTGCTAGCCAAATATTTTACTACTTATTGTGATTTTTCAGAGTTCTGTTTGAGGCTTTGAAGGTGATGCTTAGGTTCCTCTGGGCTGCATACATTATTGAGAGTCCCTTCTTGGCAACACATGTGCAGCTGTCCTTGGGTATTGACATGAAGTCCTTGGGTGCACTAGAGGAGTGGTTCTCAACTGTGAGCTGTATCAATGTCTCCCAGAGGGCTGGAGCCATGCCCTGGAGTGTCTGGGGTGGGCTTGAGAATCAGCACTTCTGGGAAGTTCCCAGGGATGCTGATGCTGCTAGTCAGGGGACCACATCTGGAGAACCACCACCCACAGTGGAGAGAACTGTTTTTCAATCTCTCTCATTTGTGTGGGTGTCCCTCAACTGCAGACTCTAACTGTTCTTTCTTCTCATGACCTGCTACAGAGGGTGTGCCCTCTGTGCCCTCTATCCACTCAGAGGGTGTGGAATTGGTCTCAGACACTTCTCTCTCTGGGTATCCAGAAACGGAAGGATTTCCTCTTTCCCAGTCCCGTCCAGCTCACTCTCCTTCCCCATCCCTCACTCACTCACGAGGATGGTATCACCAAGAGGATGGTCTTGGCAAACCTCCTTCTCCATTGACTTCCAGAAGATCCTGAGGTCAGTGCTAAGCCCTCAGGAAGGGCAGAGGGAGACCACTCAAGTTGTGGTGGCTGAGACAAGTCTGATGTCTGGGTGGGGGCAATGATGTGTTGGCCCCGCCTGGGGCAGGTGAGCAGGGGGCCAGGGACGCAGTAGGATATTTACAGTTTGGGGGCTCTTGGGGACTCTATCCCCATGGCTCCTTGTTAAGAAAGAAAATGCTAATTGTTTTGTTTCCATTCTTGCCACATGTGGCTTATTCCCTGGGGTATGTGCACTCTCAGGTGACGGAGGGGTGAGGAGATGGAAAAGTCACCAGGGATTCACTCTCACTGAACACTCCCCTCCACCCCCAGCCAAATCCTCTCCTAGCCCAGACTGAGCCTCATAGCAGTTCCTAGGCAGGGAGGTCTGGTGGTCCAAACTCTCCACAGGGCACTCAGATGCCTGAATCAATGTCATTTCATTCATTCTGTCATGATGGGAATTCAACAAAGAAGAGAATTTATGCAGTCTGGTTTGCCAAGGAAAGCTCCTAGAAAGTCAGAAAAGTCAATAAGGGCAAATGAATGAATTTATCAAACAATTCTTGTCACCTGCCATAGGTCAGATGCTGTGCTTGACTTCAAACCACATCCTTGTTAAAAATGCCCTCCTGGGGGAAGAATGAAGGGGGGGAAATCAGAGGGGGAGATGAACCATGAGAGACGATGGACTCTGAAAAACAAACTGAGGGTTCTAGA